ATAATAAATGGATGAAATCAGAAAACATAAAATGAACTGGGCCAGTTTTGATATGCAGATTAGGTGAAATGATTTAATTGACAGGTAAATGTTGAATTTTTGACTGAATTTCTGTCTGTTACAGTAGTAATTCATCACATTAATATAAACACAATATGACTTTTGAAAACATAATGACTGTCTTAAAGTGGTTTGACAGCACACAGTTTGGTGTTAAAGTATGAAGCTAATAGTTAGCAATTATGTACTTCCTTAAACTAATTAATTAAACTGGGCAGAAACTAATTACATTTACTTGAGTAACTTTTTGGGAAACATTATGATACATCACTACTCATACTTGACTAAAATTTCTAGTTACTCTACCCACTGGGAGTAAGCCTGCTGAATGAAGAACAAACATGTTTCACCCAAAATTGCATGAGACACAGAAACATGCCTACAGTTTATGCTAAAGTGAGACCTCTTGTTTGCTCACAAGCTGTGTGAGCAAACAGGAGGTCTCACTGACATGATAATGACATGACACTGTCATAAACATGACACAACCGCTGTCATGAACATGAAAGAGTCTTCATGAATGTTTGACTATTGTCATGAAGTGCCATTTGGTAAATAATACTTTTAATGCAAAGTTGACTCCTTTAATGGACTTTTAATGTAAGTTTCAGTGCAACATTGAATAAAAATGTCATTATTTACCAATTAATGCCAAGTTGACATTGTTAATGCACTTTTAATGCAACTTTGCATTAAAAGTGTAATTATTTACCAAGTGACACATCATGACAATAGTCATAAACGTTCATGAAGACTTATTCATGTTCATGACAGATGTTATAACATGTTTACGACAGTGTCATGTCAGTCGTATGCAGACCGCTTCAAATAAAGTGTTACCTTCTAATGTTATTTACTATCTGCTGAGCCTCTTGGGACTTTTTAAATCAAAAATAAACTGTAAACAATACAGTCGCTGAAAATACCTTACCCTGTTCTAATATGGGTAAGAACAGGGTAAGCAAATACGTACATTTCCTACTGTACGTATTTGCTTCATTAACCAAAACATTAAAAATATTTGATTTTGTTTTGTAATTAAATGTACTATTTTTGTCATATAAATACCAAAATTTGCACGTAATTATCGTTTTCTGATCACATCACTTTTCTTATATTAGATGTTCTTATCATAAAAGAATAACTCTTCTGTGAAGTACTTTTTTAACTCTCAAGTAATTTCTTTGATGGTCACGTTTAACTTTTGCTGAAGTACAAATATGTTGGAGTAGTGCCACTCTTACTTGAGTAGAATTGTAGGGTACGCTGCCCACCTTTGACTAAATGTATTGCATTTAGTAACGACCATGCAGTCATAGTAACCGACACACTCAGCTCTAATGTCCCGTGTCTCCACAGCTAGCTTTCTGCCTGAAACACCCAGAGGAACGACAACATCCTCCTTGCTAACGTTAGCTATCCCCCCTTACTGTGACAATGAGCCCAGTCCACATGAGTGGCAGTGGGTAATAGCCACCACTAACACCCACCTGCCAGCTGCATAAGTTTACCTGCCCTGTCGGTTTCCGCTTACCTGCATGTTGGAACAAACAGTTAGGTGACTAGCGGTTGTAGCTGTGTAGCATCTCTGTTTCGCCCTGTTGATACGCAGTCTTCCGCCTTTTACCCAAATTCACCATGGATCCCATCTGCTTCAGCCCGTCACAGAGCCGCTCTAACATCCGGGCTTGAGCTCACCACCGCCCATTATCTGCGGGTTTTAATGGCGCCGCTTTACAACGCATTGTTTGCTCTGTTTTTCTGCTTCTGGGGAGGACATTTTCATAAAAAAAGCACCGCTAGTTTACCGAATCCGAACAATTTTTTTGTACTGCTGCTGGAGGCTAGCAAGAACTGACAACTGCATCCGGTTGGAGGACGTCACAATAAAAGTCATACTAAAGGTCACTAAGGTAAAACAGGCAAATTTCTCCTTCAAAACGATGTACCTGCTAGGAGTAATAAGTACTTTAATTTTCTTTTTACAAAATATGACATTTTTACAATGTAATGCAAAATTTCAGTTTTTATCAAAACATGTCTAGTCATGTTTCTCAGTCTTTCAGTACTTGCTTGATGACTAATGTTTACATATATATTTTTTTAAAATGCACATTGTTAATTTTTTTTTATTTTGCCAGAAATATCATTCGATATATTATCAAATAGTTTGGTAATTTATATGTGAATGCTTAATATAAATAGATTAAAAAACAAAGTGCAGATTATAAAACTAAATATTTTTATGTGTTACTTATTCCAAGATCCAAGATATTCCTCTGGTTTTTAAGCTATTCCATGCTCCAATAAAAAAAAAGTAACAGTCCTATTTTTACTGGACATAAAGAAGTGGTCATTTCAGAGGAACTATATCTATCTAAACACCTCAAGCATATTTATCGGAGAACTGTAGTCATACACACCTGTACTATTTATTTTGAAAGCAATCAAAACAGCGGAAGCGAAAAGTTGACGTAATGAGGTCATGTTTGTTATTTTTTTCCCGTACATCAGCGTGGGGTGAGAAAGTTCATGTACGTCATTGCGTCAGGCATACGACACTTAACTGCTTTCAGTTCAGGAATATAAAATGTAAAACATAAAAAAATAAAATACACTGCTACTAAGAGCCGTATTAATTTAATGAAAAAAAGTAGGACATTCCAATATCACATTGGAAATATGAATATCTCCTAAAATATAAGAAAAACACACACACAGCTTGCTCTAAATGTAACACAAGTTCAAAACTATTTATTTCAACCAATCATGTTATCTATTAACATCAGCAAATACAAAGCATGTGAAATGTTAGCAATTTATTCTTATACTCTCTTTGCTGCATTTGAAGCTGAAACCTAATGACAGATCATTGGATGTAAATCCAGTTCTGTGTTTAAAAGTAAAAATACTTAACGACTTAAACTAAACACAAACAAACAGGCACACTTTAGTGGGCTGATACACAAAATACACAGTCAATGTTTTTCATTTACCCAGAACAACACTTTTATAAAGTGCATATCATGATAAATTCAGTAAATAAACACAATAGCCAGAAGCTTTACTTTTTTGTAAAATGTCAAAGCAATAAATCTTTAGAGAATCTGGTGCAATACTATGAATACTGAGGTATTTAGAATTTTTGCTACAATTTATAAATATACGGTACTTTCAAGGGGCAGTATCATGTGCTTCCCAGCTACATAGTAAAATTTTGTAGAACAATCAAGTGACTATGTCACCTTCAGTTCTTATAAAGTGCTGCATATCTCAAATATGACTTTAAAAAATCAATTTCATAATTTAACGCCTTGAATGGGCCTCTGTCTTCTTCCAACTTTCAGTCTTCAGGAAGTCGTCACAACATTGTTCCCCTATTAACCCTTCAACAATGCATTTACCAATTTTGCACTAAAAAGTAGCTCAGACAATGAGCTCAGCAGATGCACAGTTCCATCAGGTGTTTGCTAACTGGTGCTGGCTAGTCAGAAGGAGCTGAAAGGGAAAGTCATGTGGGAGAAATGCTCTGTGAGGCGGTAGCTCGGAAGTTTGGAAATTGCAGCTCCAAGGAGGAGCTACATCTTCAGCCCCCCAAGCGTTCTGCACTGCTGAATGGTTGCCAAGGGAAATTAAATGATTTCTCAAACATGCATGAAAAAATCAAAGCCACACTCCAAGAATGTTTTTGATTAGGGAATAACATTAGAAGATGACTTAAAGCTCAAACAACTCAAATTAATACTGTCACTTTAATATAAAAACAAAAGAAAACTACATTTAAATTTACTTGGGTTTTATTATTATAGCTCAGGAGAAGTTTTCAATTTCCTTCTTCATTTCCTAGAGAAAAAAGAGAGGAAAAATAAATTATTAAATAAACCAGTTGTAGTTTTTTTTTTTTTTTTTGCCAAATAAACTCCCCCACAAAGTATGAGTTTGCTTTTTCTTTTTCTTTACAGGCATCTAAAACCAAAACATGTCGTTCGGCAGTTATGTTTGTGGATCATAAAACTATGAATTTTAGCTGAGCAGCTTTTCCCTCAACTTGAGTGTAATAAAATCATGTAACAGCTAAAATAACACAATAGCATGTGATAGCCTTTAGCAACTTCTGAACTCTTTTAAGTAGCCTCCATCTAAAAGGTTCCTGAATAAACAAAGCTGAGTGGCATTGCTGTACCTTAATGAGCTCTGTCTTGTTGTAGTTGTTTCTGTGTCTGTAGATGGATTGAGCCAACAGAGCATAAAACTTCTCCAGAGTCTCCACCTCAGCGGCCTCTGTTTTAACTATTGCTCTGCTCAGCAGCTCCTGGAGAAAACAAAAATAATGACTGCAAACAATAGCTGCAAGCACATTACTTTAATTCATTTCAGTTTATCCCTATAGCTCCAATTTACAATTATTCCATTTTAACTAACCTCATAAAACAAAAAGGTAAAATCTATATCCAGTTACTTAGAAATTATATGATCAAATTGTATTTAATGTGTATTTAAAACTGATAATACATTTCAAATGTGAAATATTAGTTAAATGTTTAAAAAGATGTACAGATATTTTTAACCAATTGTTTCTCGTTAGAACCCTCACAGGATCAATCAGAGCAAAAAGGGGCGGGGCTAATGTTTGGGATGTCATTTTTGATTAGCACTTAGAAATAGACATTTCAACATGCATTGATATAAATATGATGCATTAAATTTTGAGTTCAAAAAGTACAAAAGAACTTCATTCTTTGGTTCCTGGAAAAGGGTGATAATCGCTAACCAGGTATTAGGCACTTTTAGGATATTTTACAGTTGCTAACTTATTCAGAGACTCTCCAAAAAAAGGAGCTTGAGCAAAGCAGAATGGTTAAAAATTCCACTCTCCAAATGAGCAAAGCTGGATTATTTTTGTTTCAATTCAAGATTATGCACTACTAAGACCTGGTCTGTTACAAATAAAATCCCAGTAGAAACATGCTTGATTTAAATCAAACTTTTAAGAACCCAGGCAAAAAATGGCCAGTATTTTATTGTTAGCAGTGCAAATCTTTAAAAATAAAGGCCCAACATCTTAAAACATAACCAGAGTTAACTTACTTTCAGCTTTTTGTGATCAACTACCAGGTCGGGTGTTTGCTCGTCAACACTCTCTTCAGATCTGTTCTTGTTGAACTGCTGCATTTGCTCAAAAACAGCCTTGTTTGTTCTCATCTCAGTCTTTCTCTGCCTCTCTGAGGAAGACAGAAAAGAAAGGTGCTCTCCTTTTAGCTGAAAAATTATGCTAAGGTTTACTGCAGTTTTTAAAAGGGTGCACACAGCAAACAACAAAGACAAGACACATAACCACAATTATATATTTTCGTATAATATTAAAGTTAAGAAGTAAACTTTAATTCTTATATCAAACCTATATTTTTTTAATTAAAGCTTCATTTTTGTTTGCATCTAAATATACTTATCCTGCACCAGTCACATTAAGGAAAACAAGAGGTAAAGCTTTTTTGTTTACGGGGTACAAGTACAAACACCAGCATTTCAAACTAAAATAATCCTGTGGAGTAAATCAAAAACTGGTTCTCTTTTGAGTTATTTGAAGTGAACATTTATTTCTGTGACAGAATATCAGAGAGCATCTGTTCTCGGCTCAGCTTTGTGCCAGTTTGGCTCTGCGCCCAGAGTTCTGCCTGACTGTGAAATGTTTGCTCTTTAGATCTTGCTCAGCAGCGTCAGGAGAAGCAAAGCAGGAGCAGAAGCAGCACTTTCACTACCTGTTTTGCACACTGCAGGGTTTTGAAGCTCAGTCAGAGTCCCATGAAGACCAGTTAGTAGAGCAAGAGCAGGGCGGTCACACAGCCTGAGTTAGAGGTCCAGCTTCCACTCCAAATCTCTGTTAGACAAACACACACCTAATTTCTTTAAATAAAACTCCGTCAACGACTTCCTTCGGATTGGGTCAGACTTTGAAGGCTGCCTGGACTTCAGTTTAATTTTGGGAGTGCAGCTGCTGCTGCTGCTGCTGCTGCTGCTGGACTCGTTGCAGTTTTGCTTTAGACGTTTTTGTAGAGCTTTAAAGTCACGATGGTTCCTGTTGAGCTTCAGGAAGATGTTCTCGTCATCATCGCTGCTGTCTGACAAACTGGACGAGCTTCGGCCAACAGAACTACTCTCCCCTCCCATTCCATCTGCACTTGAATCTGAACTGGTTATGCTGGACATTGAGGAGGTTGAAGCTGTCTTCTTTTGTTGCCGTTTCTTAATGACACCAGTGCTCCACTTGGATTTTCGGGATGATTTGAAAGACTTTTTCTTACGTGCTGCAAAAAGAAGTCAGAAGAGAGTTGGGATAGAGGGTAGAGAGAGGATAGGAAGAGTCATTACACAGAGAAGAAATGCGATGGAGTGGAGCTGAATCTCTGTTCACTAGATCTTCTTGTTCTCCTTTAGCCTTTTCTCCCTGAGCTGCAGACTCTCTCTCTCATTCGTAGTTCTCCCTTCTCTCAGCTCTGCAGATTCTACCTCTTCTTCTCATCGGTTCTGTGACTTTAATGCCTTTACATTTGAAAAAAGACCCTGCTGCTCTCTGTCATTGCACCTTTACTTCACCTCTTTCTTTCCCTCTGATTCATTAAACAAAGGTGTTTCTTTAACATGACGATGTATAATATTTCTTGAAAACATGAATTTAAAAATGGTAGTTGGTTTCTTTTTTTATCAGTTTGATCTAAACAGAAATTCATATTAAGTATTTTCCATAATATAATACTGTTTGATTTTTCTTAGACTTTTTTGTATTGTTCCTGCCAGAAAAATAAACCTGATATTCATTTTATAAATTTGTGTAAGTTAATTTAACCAAGTAAACAATTTTCTTTAACAGTATGTCATCATTTTTTTTAACTTTTCCTTTTTAGTTAGGAGCTTACAATATTAATATTAATTTCCATAAAAAATGAAGACTAACAAAAGGGAGGAAGGCAGACAAGTACTAGAAATTCATGCAGCGAATGAACCCAGAGCCCACCTGAGACAAAAGTAGTGATAGCAAAGGCTACATGTCAAGTCTGAAGCCAACATGATGATTATTTATCCAGTAAGAGAGAGAACAGTTTGCTAACAGAGGTACCTTGGAAAGCTGTTAAACCTGCAACCTACAGATGGATTTAAAAACCGTCTTCCTCAAGTCCAGCCATTTCACCACAGTAATGGCTATTTGTGACAAAAACTGCAACTACATAATTAGTCTGTGTTTTACTCATAAGGGCTTAACTGCACTACAGAAATGTTACTGTACAAATGCTATTCTGAGGATAGTTGTCTGTTTCACTACCACAGTTTTCTCGCAACATGTTGGTTAGCCCTGAAAAAGACACTACAGACACAGTGGTGGTGAAAGGAAAGTTAAAATTACTGTAATTTACAACGCCTGCAGTCTAATATTCTCTCGTGTTTTAGTTTCATTTAGCTCAGACACGCACACAAAAAAATACTATTACATCTTGTAATCAATTGAGGTTTTTAAGTCTTTATTTCTGTTAAAAGAAGTTTCGCTTACAGCTAATAAAAACACATTTAAAATTAGAATAATATGTCAGACAAAAACAGAAAAATAATTTTAATAGAGAACTGTGGTTTTAATGAACACTACATTTTATACCCATTTAAAGATTTTTTTTTTTTTTTTCAAAAGGCACTTTCTATTTGACAAATGAGTCTAATCGAAATGCTATTCTAATTTATTGAATATGACTGCATTTAAGTTAAGAGCAAAAATAATTACCCATTCAAGTATTTTATTTTTTTGTGGAAGAATACTAACCATTGATAGTTTAAACCTTTGAAAAAGTTACATTTTGGTGTTAAGTTACATTGTCTTTTCAAGACAGAATTTTTATCAAGGCTTACGTTGAGGTCCAGTGCTGTTTCTGGGGAACACAGAGTTGTAGAAGCCATTGGTCAACTCTAGAGTGGCTCTGCCCCTGTGGGATAATGCTGTCATAAAAATAAAAGTCTTAATTTATGGGTTGGAAGCTTTAAAAAAATAAGCACTGACTATGTAAATACATACCATAGGAGACATTTTTAATTCAAAGGGATGTTTTATTACTTCAGAACTAAATAGCCTTTGTAAGGATTAAATCAGGAGTCCATGCTGAACACCTGGTGTAGTTTGGCTGCAGTGAACAAAGTTTTACCTCTATCAAGCCGAGACTCTCGAATTTCCTCGCAGATCCTCTGGAAATCCTTGTCCAGTTCGTCTCTGATGATGACTCGCATTGTGTCTTTCAGGGCGCAGGCTCGGTGACGGATGTGACGATCTGACACAAGCAAACCATTTCACATGAATATTAAATTATATAAACTTTGAATTCACATTAGGTAAAACTCTAAGGGATACTCTAATATTTTTGGTAAAGCAAAATGGCAGACTCAATAAAGAAAGCACAAAAACCTTATAGTTTAGCTTTAATTTCCTTCAAAAGCTCTGCACTCGGTCATTTTAAAATGATAACACTTTATACAAAGGGCTTGTCACCTCTAGCCCACATCAAAAGCATCTGAAGCTTGAAAAGCATGCTAAGTATAAAACCTCAGATGGTTCTCAAATGTTCTTAAAACATTGAGTTCATTATATAAGGAGTTATGTATTTACTACCACCTGCTGGGTCTCTGTCTGGGTTGTACTCGAGAGCGTTCTGCCAGATGAGGTCTGCGTCTGACATGAACTCATCAACGGTGACATATTTATGCTCATCAATGTTGTACAGCAGGGTGGAGAGGTCCATGGGCTTCTGGATCACCATGAGGTAGTCTGGGACCTGGAAGATGGAGAGTTCATGGTTTTACACTCTTTCTAAAACATCCAGCAAGGAGCAGGAGCACAATTACCTAATATTAACTTTGCTTTAGTTTTAAACTGTATCCCTAGAGGGTTTCCAGAAAAGCCATTTTATACAATAATGGAAACAGTTAAATATGAAAAGGAAATAATAAAATCCCTTTTAAATAAGAAAATAAACACTTTATTGTCTAAAATGCAATAGCAGCATTCCTTTAGTGAATTTGAAGGAGGTGAAGCTAAAACTATGCCACTTGAGAAATTTTGGGTAAAACATACTTGCAGACAAAAATGTTTTCATCTTAAATGCAAAATGTATATAAATGTTATACAGCTTTGGCTTAATTATTGCTCTTTTTTCAGTTTTTTCAAGAGTCTCTATACTTTAGGTGACAACTAATAGATTACTAAATGAGTTGAAGATTATTTCAATAAATGATCAATGCCACATGATTAATCCAATGAAGTGTTTCGCTATCCTACTATGATGTAAACAGTCTTCCAGTTAGAGCTTGATAAAAAAATAAAAATAAAAATAAAAAAAAAGAATGGGATTACCTCCTCTATGTCGACAGGTTTGGTGAAGGCCTTGAAGCGGCGGTCCACCATCAGTCGCTCTGTGAGGTTACGGAGGAAGAGGCGGAGTTCCCGCAGCACGTCCTCTTCCTGCTCCTCCACACGGAGGCGCTCCTGCTCGGTCATCTGTCTCAGGGGAGGAAGTGGAGCCACAGGAAGGATCTCCATGTTCTGGGTCACTGATGGCAGATAAGCAGGTGAATTAGGCTAACTTTTTAAACTGTTACTGAATATTTGGTATATAACAGTCAGCATATGAGTGGAACAGAGCACCATGGACACCATGCTCTGTGTCACATACTTCCTTTATTCTTAGATGGTGGAGGTTCAGCCGCCTGGTTCAAAATAAGATCCTCAAAAAACTCTGTTCTCTCCTGCCGGGAGGGAACAGCCATTGTATATATCTCCCCATACTCCTCCCGAAACAGAGTTTGTATCTGATGATAAAACAAGATATGTTTAGGTATAATATGTTAATTTTTCTTCCCTGGAATGAGTGTTTCTGGCTTTGTTTTCCTGCTTTCAATAATAACTCAAAGAAGCAGCATAAAATAAGTGAGTTCATAGAAGAGGTAAAGGAAACTTTAAGGCTTCTTCACCTCTGTGTCGAGCTGCTGGTGAGGAACGCTGCAGGTGGCGAGAAGGAGGATGGGAGAAAAAGAGGGGATGCTGCCCAGCAAGCTGAGAAACGAGGCTCTAAGTGCTGTTCCTGCTGTGTCCCACCACTGCTGGATGTGGGGGATGTAGAGGATGCTGGGAGATGTCCGTTTGGCCTCGCAGAACACCTGATAAGGGGAGACATTTACTTTAAAGCTTTAATTTAGTTTTTTTTTCTAAATTGTCCTGTTATTTCTTTTGATTCTTTCTGCAGTTTCTTTTTAACACCACCAAATGTTGCTGAAGAACAATAGTTCACTTTGTGGTGTGCAGGTTGGTAAATATAATAGCAAAGTTTCAGCCTCTTTGTGTAAATTACAATTATAAAATAGCTTAAACATTGCTGTAAAAGCCTTGCAGTTGAGTCTAATTAGAAAAATAAGACCTGATTTAGACATTCCATATCCAAATTTGAAATAAATTGGCAGGAAATCAAATCCTTCAGAAAGATAGACACATCTTGAGCTATGAGTATAGGTGCTCAATAATTTGCACTACAATAAAGTCTATGAATTCGTGATAGCATCTGTGTGGTCTTATCTAACAATTACCTGCGCACAGGCTTCCTCGGGAGAAGTCCAGCTGAAACCAAACAACACCGCAGAATCCAGGCTGTGGACAGTGAAACGCTCCAGGGCATGCAGAATTGCAGGGGCCAGGTGGGACGTCTGACCAGAGTCCGGGCGACCAGCCAGGAGCATTCGGGGGCGGTGGGACGTTGGGTGTTTGACAGCACTCCTGCAGGAGCCAACAGAACAGAGTACGAAGGCATTTATAGTTTAAGTTAACATACATATTACATATTGTTTTATGTTGGATAGAGTTCTGTGCCAGCCCAGCACGATGTTTCACCTCGCAAAATGCAGAAAGTTTTTGCTCTGGGAGGTGGAAGGAGCAGAAATGCTGCAGGTTGAGGTCCCTTCATCTCCACTACTCATCAGACCATCATCGAAGATACCAGAAGTCAGATCTTGCACAAAGACACAGATGTAAAAATTCAGAATTTGATTCCATATAATAACCCAACAGAAATGCTTCCAGCGTTCAGCACTCACTCACCCGGCTCCCTCTTCCTCTTCATCCCCTGCTCAGCGTGTGGAAATAGCTTCTGCAGAACCTCCAGGATGTGGCTGAGGGCCGAGCGCAGCAGGGGCTGGACCACAGCTGACAGCGGTTTTGTAGGGCAGGCGTTGGAGCGTTGCGACGCCGGCTTCATCTTCCTCATAGCCGCCACGAAGTCGCAGCTGCTAACAGAGATGGAGGAGACGTCCAGCAAGAGCTTCTGCGAGGTGCCGTAGATCTGTGGGTAGCGGCGCCGCAGGGCACACAGCGCCGCCTCGGTGCACACCGCCCTGATGTCGGCACCGCAGTAACCTGCAGCAATTAAGGATTGGGTGAGGTCACTTCATTTAAAAAAAAGTGAATGTGGCAAATTACAAAGCATGTGATTTTCATCCCACCTACCCACACATTTTTCTGCAAGCTCATCCAGAAAGTCTTCTGAAGGAGGAGGTTTCCACAGCCGTGTGTGGATCTTCAAAATCTCTTTACGAGACTGAAACACAAGGACCAAAATATTATAAATTTTAGAATTCCAGTTGAATTGTACAAGTATTGAAAAAACACTTCCAATATTCAACACTTCCAAAAATTGTAATTAACTGATAGTAATACAAGCTTCTTATAAAATATACACTTGCAAACTATTTCAAAGAGTCAAACTACTGTATAAAATATTAGAAACTAAGTTAGAAATTTCAGGCAGATGATGAAATGTAAGAAAAGAATAAAGTTTTACCTCTTTGTCAGGTAGGCCAAACAGAAACTCCCTATCAAAACGTCCCGGACGCCGCAGAGCTGGGTCGATGGAGTCCAGCCTGTTTGTCGCTCCGATCACCACAATCTCTCCTCGACCGTCCAACCCGTCCATCAGAGCCAGCAGAGTTGACACAATAGAGCTGCAGAAGTTTAAAAATAAATTTATTATTTACAGCCACAGAAAGAGCGTCAAGGTAAAATATGTACATTTAAGGACTATAAAGACCTGTGAATCTGATCTTGTTTGCTGGATCGAACAGGAGCCAAGCCATCAATCTCATCAAAGAAGATGATGGAGGGACGTTTCTGATACGCCTGAAGAATGAACAAAAGCGTAGCATTTTTTTGATGTAATGTTTGTTTTTATTCCAAAAACTGATGACATTGTTGAATCTTTGTAAGTCTTGAACCTATTTTTTCAGCCCTCTTTGCAACCAGCCACAAGGGGGCAGTGCAGTAACATCAGATAACTTTAAAGTTACCTTTACCTGCTCAAACAGCAGCCTCAGCTGTCGCTCTGACTCGCCCACCCACTTGCTGAGGCAGTCAGCTCCTTTCCTCATGAAGAAGGACACCTTCTCGTTGCCATGGCTGCATTCATTGGCCAACGCCCGGGCAACCAGTGTTTTCCCAGTCCCTGGCGGGCCATAGAACAGACAGCCCCTGAAAAAAGGGACAAAACTATGTTTTTTATTTAGGTTTAAATAAATTAAAGCTGAACATAATTTAGTGTTAGAGAATGAACATAAATCCTGTAAAGTTCTTCATGGTCTGTGTGAGTCACCTGGGAGGCTGAATCTTGAAATTATCAAAGACTTCTGGGTAGAGAAGAGGGAAGACAACCATCTCCTTCAGAGCTGAGATGTGACCCGACAGCCCACCGATGCTGTCAAAGCCCACCTGAGGAGAAAATAAAATTAACAAGGAAGGAAAAGGAGAATCAAGTACATATATATTTGCAAGAGAATCACATATTGTAAACAATAAAAATGTAGAAGTGCAGAATAGAGGATCCATGAGGATCACACACCGGTGAGTGACAGATATGATAGTTGTGTCGTAACTTACCATCCGATCAATAGCCATGGGATCAATGTCTGCCAGACCTGCTCCCATGGCCAGCTTGTCTCTGCGAGGACTATAAAGCTCCTCCGTACGCAGACCGAGTGCACGGCAGTTGCTGAGGCGGAGTTAAAAAAAAACATGATAATTGGTAAAATATGGGGAAAAACACCAATCAAGGAAAACTGCACTTAGATTTCTTGTAAACAAATAGATTTAAAAAGTCAGACCTGGACAAGTTCAACATTATAAAAGATAAACTTAACCAACTTTCAGAAAGTTGCAAGTGAGTTGATGTTTCTGTCCAATCTGTATAATAACTGATTTACTTTTTTTATTTGTGAAAAAAAAAAATAAATAAATTGAAAAGGATTTACACGGTAAACTAATTCCGTGTAAATTCCGTGGTTATTCTGAACCAGTGGTTTTTTTTCATAAAGGTCTTAACACTGGACACTAAAAACCAAGAGAGAACTTATGTTACAGTTCTCAGTGAAGATATTCATTGTCTCTGCCGACCTGCTGGAGGCCTTTTCATCGTCTGAATCAGCGTCATCAGTCGACCATGCATTCTGAGCGGCCCTGATGGAAAGAGAAGAAGTAAACAAATATGTGTCTCAGATTGAGCAGAAAAGAAGCAGTTCCTGTCAGAAGGTAAAATAAACACACATTCCTGGCATCAACAGGCCGTGAATGATGGATTTGAACTGTAATTTTTCCACGAGGGAACAAATATAGTTGCAATGACTTTTAAAAAAATAATTTTTCTCACATTGTCATATGTATGGTCATGTTTTTTTCTAACCTACAGAGAAACATATTTTTCATACAGACTAAAATACCTATGTTCACTAGACTTAAACATTTTTTGGTAAGTGGTTTCAGGGATCAATAGAACAGTTCAAATAGTTTTCCATAAGTTATAATTATTAATCATTCAACAGTGATCACTGTATTTAGCAATTTTACAATAAGAACCAGTTATTCCAATGTGAAACCACTTTGCCCAAGCCCACAAGAGCCAGAGTTAAATTGTCAGCCAAATTATGTCATGTGGTTGTTGCTGTGATCATCTTGTTTCTAAAAATCATTACAGTTGCATCATATTTTTGCGAAGAAAAAATAATTTTAAATAGCAAAAAAGTATAGAAAGCACACGATCATTCATAATGATTTTATTAAAACTTATAACTGTAAATAAATCTGTTTTAAATTATTCAGTAAATGATCAGTTAGTAGTGATGAGTAGGTTTTACAAAAACATACACGTCTTAACAACCAAAGAGAAACAAGATCAGTTTGTAAAATATTTCACTGAATCATAATCTAACGTGAATAACTGAGAAATATTTTCAGTAAATTAAAGCAGAATTACACTCCAAAAACATGATTTGCAATAACCTGACCTAGAACAGGTTCATTACAACAGTATATTCCTGTAATACGAGCCAAGTCACTTACATATCTAGGAAATACAATAAAAAAACTATAGTTTTTTTGTTTGTTTGCTTCTTTTTTTTAAACCAGTCAGCAAAGAGTTGAAGTGTTTTTGAAAGTTGTCTATAATAAACTAAAGTACAATTAGATTTCTTATTTTTAATATTTGCAGTCACTCTCTTCCAAGTGCATTTCCATCTAATTTGAGCTTATTTAGATGGGTTTAATGGTGTATTAAAAAATAATGCTGCTTCTTCTATTAATTTTCAAACTGCTTAAAGAAGAGAGAGTGTTGAATCCATGGTCTCACCTGAAGTTTCGCCTGCGTGTTACACTTTTTCCTGATGGACTGACCTGGAAATGTCCTTTTAGGAACAGAACAGAACAGAAATCCAGAACTGGGTTGATTTATTACTATTTTAATAAATCTTATTAGACTAATGATTGTATTCCTTGTTATCTGGTTCATTTTTCCTTCCTAAAGTAAAAATGGAAGTGATACAGTTGTGTTGTTACATTTTAAAAGTGTTTTGACATATGCTCTCCTAAACTAGATTTAACAAGATAATATTTCATGTCTTGCTCTGTGTTTAACTATTTTAGAGAAAATGCAGTTCATTTTTCATATTTTTTGTGCTGAGAGTACAGACACAGCAGAACTGACCTCTTTTGGGTCCCTGGTAAGGAGACGAGGCCTTGCCATGTGTGGCATCAAAATTCTCAGTCACACTGCAGTTACTGTCCTCATCTGCAGTTGTTCCAATCCCACTATCTACATCATCAACTGGAAATACCACAGAAGAAGAAAGCATGATGAAACACCCATCTTGTTTCTTCCTCTCCTTCACTGCTTCATGCTTGTACAAACCGGTATCATCTGTAGTGTCAATGAGGTCTGTTTGCGGCGGTTCTGGTGTTATCGACTTCTGTTCTTCAGAGGCAATCTTCTATAAATACATAAATACAGCTTAAATGTCATTAATAAAACTAAGAGAGATACTGTATTTTAAAAAAGGAGCAAAATTACATCAGGGTTTTGAAGTTTTGATTTCAAAGTAACATTTTACAGCAGTTTAATCACTAAACTTTGTTTTTCTGTTTTTGTAATTGTGAAGCTACACTTCTATTATTTTTGGGAAACTATGAAAATAATTAGAAAAAAACTACTCAGTGAAATCAAATATAGTAATAATTTACAGAAACTGCGAGAGACAAGGGAGTCTATTGACATGTTGTTGTCAGAAACAGTGTTTTTTAAATGGGTTTACACAGTTTGCCTCAGTTCCAACATCTAGAGAGACTAGAGAGATAAACAGCTGTATCCTCGATTAAGCATTTTCATCCATCATGGCACTCCTCCCGTGTCCTGATTTCCACATGGGACCTTTGATTACAACTACATCTCAGTGAAATCTGCTCTCTGTTGCTGTTTCAGTTGGATAAAACAGAGGGATTGACAGAAATGAGTTCACACCAGTTGAGAGCGATGCCTCACAACCAAGAAGATCTAAGCTTTGTCACCCTCATGTGACATAACCACACTCTGATGCTCCTCACACTCTCAGCTGCTCCCCCTTTCCCTCCCCCAATATGTTGGCAGCTGATAGAGTTGTCATCCCCGCCCCAGGAGTTGTGAGCAGAGAGGAAAGTCAGCGTGCGGCTGGGTGCACCTCCCTCACAGAGAGCTGATAAGACAGGGTGCCCACCCATACAGACTGAGTACAGCATGAACCGGGGCTTTAAGCTGCTGCGGAATGTAAACACAGCATGAGAGCATGCCGTCAAAACAAACCCATGCTGCTGGGAGCCGCTGAGAGCTGCGATCAGATGCAGCTTATTCAAAAACATACAGAAAAGGTTGCTGTATTTATGAAATTCACCCAATTCAAACATTGCAATTGTTTCATGATTTTTGATGACTTTGGTTCCATTTTTAACATCTTAGAACAAATTAATTAAAAGTATGCAAGTGATATTACCACTATGATGCATCATATTTTCATTAAAAAGAACCCAAACTGAGAGTTCTAGTTCTACTACAAGTGCTACTACTAATAATGATGATAATAATAATAACAATGACGACAACAACAACAAAAATAATAATAATAGTAATAATAATAATAATAGTAATAATAATAATAATAATAATAATAATAATAATAATGATAATAATAATAATAATAATAATAATAATAATAATAATAATGTTTGCAAATAAAAACAGAAGATAAAGTTGATCATTTTTTCTGAAATAATAGAGTCCAACATTTGGTTCCATTCTATCATAAGACTTTTTTGTATCCATTTACTACAAAAAGACTAGAAATAACTGAAGGTTAAAGCTTCTACTGTGGCTGCAAATGAAGTAAATAACTAATTATGTTGATGGTTTTTAGTCCAGACTTACTCCATCTTTCTTGTTCCTAATCAGTCGTTTTTTCTTCTTCTGATTGGTGATATCCTTCTGGTCTCCGTGGCTGCAGAGAAATGATAATCAAGATGTACGAATATTAAAGATCAAATCTGTTTTCGTCACAGTCTTATTTTCCTCCCCGACATAAGATGCTGTCGCTAATAACCAGGATAAGAGCAACAATTAAACATAAATGTGACTGTTCACATGTGTATCATTAAACAAAATTTTCTTAAAGAAGACTTGTTGCCTGGCAAGTCCACAAGTAAAGACTGAATATTACATCTGCACACATTTCACTGCTATAAAACAAATGAATAAACCAAAATTATCTATTCATTTTTATTTAAGGTCATTTTAAAAACTGCATCAAGATAAAACTGATGCAGTTGTTTGGACAGTGTGTTATACTTCCTGTTTATGTTACTGAGTCGTCTTACTTGCTGTTGATGGCGTCAAACTTTTTGGAGGCGTCGTATGTAGTCGTCGGTGTGGTTCTCCTGGGACTCTTCCTGATCCCATTCTTCTTACCTCCTTACACAATGACATGTATATGTTTAGATTCTATATTCTATATAAAACTTATCCATGCATGTGTCTTTTTTTGTTTTTTCCATTTCAACATATAAAGAATGTCTAAAACTGTCTAACCTTCTGGGCCTGATAATACCTGAGACTGATAGAGGCCAAGAGGAAAACCTCTGGATTTATTTGGATAAATCAAAATGTGGACTTATATAAAATAAAAAGAAATAAGCTTTGTATAAACTAATGAGGACAGATTGTCATCCAAATATCCATTTGAATTAGAACTTTAACATATGTTACAACTTTTTCTCCAAAGGTTATAACTTTTATTTAATTTCCCTCTGGGATTAATAGGGTATATTTGAATATGAATTAAACTGAATTCAAAGTTTAGTAGTGCTTATATTTAATATGTAAGAAAAAAAAAAACATGTCTTACCTGTAAGGTTCTTAAGTCTTGAAGATCTCCTGTCAACACAAGACAAACATCTGCATAAGGAAACTGAAAAGAAAAGCTGAAGAATGATAAATTAAACAATAAACACTAGGTCTAGCATCATAGTTTAGATCATTTGTGATTCATGCCATTGTTTGTTCTTTGTTTCAACAAAGAACAAACAATGTTTGATGATTAGAATTGGTGCTAAAAATTTTAATATTTGGAGTCTGAGGTTTGAGGTTTAAAAAACTCAACCAAATCAGAAATATTGGTATAAGCATCAATGAATATTTCACCAACTTCATCAAACTTATAAACTACATCAAGCAAACCTTTTATAAGCAACCTTATGAACACTGGGGTTCCAACATAGAAAACTGATTAACTTTTTTTATAACAAAGTCCTGTATGTAGTCTGAATATAAACTGGAAACTTGAAGTTAAGAAGAAAAATTGTATGAAAATGCATCTATATATTTACAGATCTCACTTAGAAAATGTATCCTCAGTTATTTCAGATCTTTACTGGTTTTTGAAATTTCGGTTCTAATGTCTGACCTGATGACTTTTCTTGCAGCTTTTTTTGCAACTTCTTCATCACGTGTGTGTGAATTAGTGTGATTCTCTTCTTCTTTCTTGGCAGGAACTCTCTAAAGAATATTTCATAGGTTAGTATATGTTACTGTTAATCATGTAGATATATGTATTACAGAATAGCAGAATGCCGGTTGTTAAGGGCTACAGTAACTGTATCAGTAAGTCATGTGAAGAATATTGATAAATATTGCTACGACTATTTTACTTGCAATAAATACACATTTTGCTCCCTCCCCTGTTTCTCATCCGACACTGTCAGTAATCTTTGGCACTGAGATCTGTCTAAAGTCTTGACACTTTAAGTATATTGTCCATTAATTACTAGAAGTAATATATTATACAACCCCTTTAGAAATTGGGAATGCGTTTTTTACTGGTTTGTTTAAGTCAGTCAGATCATCACAATGAAAACAAAAGAGTGATACTGACCTGAAACATGCACATTTGTCATGTATTCATTGAGATTAAGATATAAAAGGTAAATCATTTTTTGTTGTAATTATACAAAACAGCAAAGAAGAAAGCTGAATGATATTTTACAGATTTATATTTTGTATTTTGAGGAATCTTTTATATATAATTATTTGCTTTTCAGTTTCAGTTTGTATTTTTCATTAATATGATTTCAGTTTCAGATTGTATTTTTCATTAATTTGATTAGCACACCCAGCAAAATTAATTTGAATGATGTTGAACACTATTTATTAAAATCAATTAGAGATTCTGCTATTAAGTTTTCAAAACATCAAAATTCACGTAGTTTTTAAAGCAGTAGTTATTAATTCCTTTAAAATAAATCTAAATACCGGAAAATGTTTGAAGAAATCTTGCAATTATATTAAAAACAAACGTGATAGCTACATAGTTATGCTCTTAAAGAAATTAAAACATTGCAAGCTAAAAAGACAATGCTATCAATTACTGTTGTGCTTATTAATGTTTCATGTTAATATAAACTATACATTCAATACTCATAGAAGCGGAAAACGCTTTCGCAAGCAGACAAGAGTGAAAACAAGTAAGGGAAAAAGTTATGTAAACATAGGTGTATCATAACAGAGCTAAGGCAATTTACTGACAACTAATAAAAATTAAGACAAAAAAAACACCATCTACATGTGGAGAAAATATTTTGTACCCCACTATATATATTTTTTTTATATATAAATATATTTTGCTATGTTTTTATAAGATTTATATTTCCTGTTTTGCTTTCGTTGGTTGGTTCGTTCTGACCAACAGCTAACATTAAAACTTAAAAAATGCAGCAGTATTAACACACTGACTTTGGGAAGCTTTTTCGTCTTTGAACGAGTCACCGCTGTCCTTATGCTGGTCTCTTTCCGGCCTCGCTGGGGTGTCTTCGAGACCTTGGCTGCCTTCTTTTTCAGCTTACGGTTCCGAACTACATCCCTTCTGCTTTTGGCTCGACCACGGTTCGTCACCATGGTGACGCTCAAACGCTAACCCGGAGACGGTTAATGTGTTAGCTTACCAGCTAAAGTATTAAAAGTAGAAAGAAAACGAGCAAACACCGACATTGTCACCTCGACCTGTTGAGAGATGTTTTGCAGAGATGATGTAAGAGTCACCGTCTTACTGAGACTGAAGAGAGGGAGCTGAAAGTCAAACACACCCAGACAGCTTGATAAGCTCTCGGAGCCCAGCAACCCGAGTCCATTCAAACGGCTGAGTTTTGCCGCCGCCTAGTGGTCGTCACGACGTAATGTACGTGTGTTTAAGGAAATGAGGTTTTAAATGGGTTTGAAATATAGAAAAACAGATATTGCTATCCTATGAGTGGTACATTTTCTGTGTGTTACGTATAGTTTTACGACTTTTTAAAAACCCAGATTTATTAATGCACTAATGCTGATAAACTCATTATGTTATAACTAAGTTGCCATCAAAACAATCCAACTTTCACCAATCTTTCATGGAAATTGTGTTTTGTGCAGAGCATTTCACATTATGCATGTACCATCTGAAATAACTGGGATCTTACTGTTAATTTAAAATAACATTTTACATTAAAGCTTTGTTCAAAAAAGTTAAGTTTTAATTAACTTCTTAAATGCTAAAGGGACATCTACACCTGTGAATCATTTTCAAAAGTCAAACTGTTTCATTTCAATAATATAAGAAAAAAGATACTATTTTGGAACCAGTTTAATAGCTCAAATAAAATGTGTTTTTCTCAATTATTATCAAATCAGAGAAACTCATTTCAAAGTCTTACATATTATGTACACTTGTAAATCAATATTTGGTCATTTACAGCACACTATGTAGAACTTATGCAAAGCTGAGTTAGAGCACTCATCTGCCCTGTAATTATCATTTCGCTTTTCTGTACACATGAAGTCCAAAGTCAAAACTATGGTGATTAAACTTCTGGTAGTTAGGCCCTGCTAATAAAGCTTCTATTTTAAGAATCCCAGCATAATGTAGAGATTTTTAAAACTTAGAATTTTTTAACATCATCTTGATATTAGCTAAAACTTAAAAACACTGGGCAGAATGATAAAAACTTCATGTAAACCATGAAAAAAGCAACAACTTATAGAATATTTTGATTTATTTATTCAGAGTGAAACAAAAACAGACAGGTTTCAGCATTTAGTATGTGTTCTGTTCAGAAGTCTAAATCATTTCAAAAAGGTCTCTCACAAAAGACCAGTGAATAGGAAACATGTAAAGATATGATTACGAAGGTGATACAGTAAAATTGCTGAAAAACTTCATACATAGCTTGAGTTAACTATTTGAGGCAAGGCACTAATGCCAATATTTTGCTCATATTCTTATCATTTGACATACAAAATACAATTATTTCTGAGTAATCTTTGTACCACCGGTGCAATTTAATGTCGAAAAAATGTATACCATTTATCACACAACTTTAAATCAATGGAATAAAGCCCCATAAACTCCCAAAATACAAGCAAAAACTAATAAAAGATAGACAAATTTTTTAAGAAACAATCTTGTATTCCATTAATAATGGATACCATAGAAAATAAGAAAACTTAGAGAAATAATCAACTCAATAAAGCAAATGTTTAAAAGAACACATTTATGAAACAAACCTTTTTATCAACATTGCAAAAATCCAAATGAACTTAAAAAGAAATCCCTTAATTCATAGATGGGAGAAAGTAATTATGTAGTGTTAATAATTAAACAAATAAATTTTACTTTGCTAATCCAACGTATTTTCAAACTCAGTTTTATTTCTACTCTTCAAGTCTACTAAAAAAAAAAAAAAAAAAAACTCACATTGAAGTACATTTTTATTTGGAAATCTCATAGTTTAGGAGTATTTTGTGTGCTTAACTAATACTGAACATAATCATTCGTCCAATTCTTCCTATTTGTAAGTAGGTTTTAAATATCAGATTTCATAGATCAGCCAGAGAACACAGTTTATTTTTGATTTATTTTCTCTGAACAAAAAGAAAACTTGTGTCAGTTTCACAATTTCTACAAGATTTTGATTAGTATATTATATATATATATATATATATATATATATATATATATATATAT